TAATAAGAACATGAAGAACGCTTGAGAGAAAGACAAGTCAAACATCAAGTCATTTTTAATTTCTGAACTTCTTCCCATACACACAATACACACAGTGGCAAAAAGCTGCACGATTAAGTGAAATAAAACCGAAATCACGATATGGCTGAGTGCAATTTTAAATGGCAAAGACTGTGATTTATAAATACATGTGATCCATGTTTCAGTGAGTGTGGCACTGTGTTCATTTACTCGCATGTAGCTCATCATCCAAGTTTCGAGCAGCAGTAAATGCTGTTGCATAAGAAATCATCCCTGCATCTGCTTTGAGTTTTGGTTCCTTGTGCATTTAGGATGCAACATGCACCAACCATCGTCCCAAACTTGTAATTAGAAGCGCTTATAAACAGGCTGTAGTCAACAAACGAGAAGCTTTATAGGCTCCTTTTGCTGAGTTCACACTGCACGATTTTCAAAGTCGTCGGATCACCATTGTTTTCACACTGCACGACTATCTGGGGTAGCATTCAGTTGCTGCTGCGTTCACATTGCACGATGGATCGGCGACAGGAGGTTACACATTGCATGACAATAGGAAGAATCGCCGACAACTCTGTCTGGTCCGCAAACTACTTTTCATATAACTCCTCCCTGAACTTCCCGCTGTCCTGTATCTTGCCCTCTCATTGGCAGTATGCCATCACCAATGTATATTTTAGTCAGAGCTCATTTCACACAGCAGGATTTTGAATCGCTGACAGGTCCAGATATTTAGCATGCTAAATATTTCACGGGCGTCTGCAATTCTCTCAGATCGCGTCTTTGATAATTCACACTGCGTGATTGTCATTCGTGTGAATGAGCACCGATTTGCCTCTGGTTTGAGGCATTTGTCTGCGTTTTCGCAAAACCTGTCGGCGAGTGAAAATCGGGGTTAAAATCATGCAGTGTGAACTCGGCAAATGTTTTTTTCCCAAAATAAAAGCTCAATGGGTTAATTTTTTTAAATTAGGAAAATAAGCCATAATTAATATAATATTTTTCTTAAATACTAATTTATAATAATAGTTATTATTGTTATTATATTTATAGTAATATTGATATATACAGGTGCATCTCAATAAATTAGAATGTCGTGGAAAAGTTCATTTATTTCAGTAATTCAACTCAAATTGTGAAACTCGTGTATTAAATAAATTCAATGCACACAGACTGAAGTACCATATTGACCCGAATATAAGACAATGTTTTTTTCTTGGAAATACATCTGAAAAAACGCGGTCGTCTTATATTCAGGGTCTAGACTTTGACATGTCAATAATACACCCACAACAATAGGTGGCGCCAAATTTAAAAGAACCAAAGACTTAAACTACTTCAGTCTGTGTGCATTGAATTTATTTAATACACGAGTTTCACAATTTGAGTTGAATTGCTGAAATAAATGAACTTTTCCACGACATTCTAATTTATTGAGATGCACCTGTAATCACAGTCATAATGTTTTCAATTTTTTTCAGAAAAATCTAAATGACATTTTTCCACAAATTTTAAGCAAATTTTAATCTGTTTTTACTACTGTTCCGCTTGTCAGAGTTTCTTCCACGATTAAGACACAAGACCTATTGCTGTTTTTGATACTATAAATACAATATGTAGATGATCTTATATTAGCCTCTGTGAATAGGCATTAATATTAGTGCTGGCTGTGATCATTTCATTTCTGAATGACCCATTATTGTTTCAATTAAGTCTGGATAGGCTGTGGAGGGAGTTTTGTGTTGTGAATAGTTCACCGAATGATTTTTCCCCAAAAGAGCAGGGAAATCTTTTTAATATCTTCTAATGGAAATGAAATGTGTAAGTGTATGTAGCTCAGCTGTCTGTTGTAAGTGTTTTTCTGTCTGGCTTGGTTTCTTTACCCAGGGGCAGAGCAGCCTGTCTTTTGTCTTCACCACTGTAGTTCCTCTGACTGGAGGTGGGACGGCTCGTCATAGTCAATCATCTGTTGACAAAGGGCAGCTTCTATCTGTTTGTCAGTCTGTCTCTCGGTCTGCCTGTCTGTTTGCCTATTTATTGTCCAGAAATGCATGTGTCGAAGAGGAGGTCATCCGCTTCAAAATCAGTATGGTGAATGTCCATGTCTGGGAAACTTACACTCATTGTCTAGTTTGAGGTTTGGGGTGGATTCACACATTATTCTCTGTTTGTTTGTGGGCAGGTGTGAGTTTATGTATGTCAAATGAGTCAAAATTTCAATTACATGCTTGTGTTGTCTAGCAGTGGTTCCCTTTCAGTCGGTCACTCTCGACGTCACGTCGGATGACCGACGAATTGGGATCTCGCTTAGAGAGAACAATCCACTTCGAGTGTAAACTAAACGAGCCAATGCATATTGGCATGCGAAGATTGCATCCAGCTGCCGCTGATCACTGCGCGAGTATAATTAGGCAGCAGGTACAACGCATACTCAGCTTTTTGCTTCAAAGCCAAGCGATCACATCGTTTTGCTCCTGACTACTCTACTAAGAGAAGAAGACTGAACGAGTTCAGAGCGCTCTTGGAGAGCTCTTCGTGTTGGCGGTACGGCGCTTCAGCGGTGGTGGTTTCCCG